GGATGACTTAAAGTATTTCCTTCTTCCCTTTCGGTGTGGGTTTTTTGCTTCGGGGCTCGCAGATTCTCACAGGTCACCATCTGTCGTGCAACACCACAGGGAACATTGCTGAAGGGGAATCGCTATATTAAGGCCCATCTTCGTGTCCGTCATTAGTCCGGGTCGCGGCGTACACCGGGCGACGGCACGGCGTTGAGGGGAGAAGAAAGCTGACGGCTGCAAAGCCAGTCACGCAATAAAAAGTGAGAGGTGAGACGCCGAAGACAAGAGGAGGGGAAACGAGTCCTTTCCCAGCGTCGTTGTAAGATGGATTGTTTTCCGCCGATCTAATTTTGGATCATACGAAAACAGTCCATTTGTCTTAAAGAAAAATGATGTGCCACATGGCGCAGATGGAATTCCTTTTTTTTTTTTTGAAAGCTGAGGGATTAAAGAGAAACTCTGCTCCTCATCCCTAATCACGAGCTGTAGATTACTCCGCCGATTTAACCAGATGGCGGGCGAGATTCTGAAGGCGCTTCTGTATATTAATGAAGAGCAGTCTGTTATATTTGACTTGGGTAAGTGAAACGTCCATCACCTGTAATGGGCTGCCATTCTGCATTTTGCACCACTTTGGGTCCACGTGGCGTTTTTCCTTTTCAACGTTATTGAAGGGAAGTTTTTGTTTCCTGCTATTCTCCGTCCTCGTCACTGCAAATGTAAATACATATTTATTCTACACCAGGAAGAGAAGTCTCAACAGCTAATTTCCTCTCTTGGGTCAGGGCAATAATTCTGACCCTAAAACTGTCGCGCTGGGCGAAGCAAACGAGTTCAATAGCAACTTGATTAAGTGAGCCTGCCGACATGACCGCAAACACGGCAAAGCCGTATGTTAATAGGAAGGGTGAGATGAAGCGGCGCAGACAGCGGCACAGTTTCTGGCCAGTCCTGCGTTGGTTGTATGGAGCCGTTGACCTTAAGGAACGGCTCATGTGGCTTCGCTTTATTGTAAGTTAGTTCGTGTGCCATGTGATGTTTCGTTGCCTTCTGCCCCGCTAAGCCTCTAAAAGACACAAAAATAGTGTGTGACTTTCTCCAGATATTCGTTCTGGACGCCCGCTCGCTGCATTTAGCACTCGTTTGCCAAAGAAACTGATCATATTTGTCTGAGAATGTCGGTGGGAAGGGACTGCCAAAAACCTAAAGAGGTAATGAACACATGTTTGCCAGCTCGAGCATCCAGGAACTCCCTCCGTGAATATGGCAAGCCTTATTTTAAACCAACGGGGGGGGTTGGCTGCATTTCCCAACCAGAGAGCACGAACCGCTCGGAAGCACAATGCCAGCGTGTCATACATTTAAACACTGTTAAATTAAAGGCTGTTTACCGTTTTTCGGAGCCCATTCATCTTCCTCAACGTTAGTCTGCTCCTTGCAAATTTGTCAGTAAGCGCTTCCACATGCCGGGGCAAGGAGGGCGAAAAAGTTGGGGTTATCAGAGGAGGGTTTCTTCCGTCAGCCTGTAGGTAATTAGCCACCTCCACCACAATAAGGCCATAAGTCATTAATCACCCGGACCCGAGGTGGAAGTCGACTCACTGGAAGCAAGACGTTTTTGAGACAAAGTTTCCCGCCTGTGACGGACTTCAAAATGGCCCCTGTCAGTGCCGTGTAAATTATAGGGTGTGTTGAGTTCTGAAAGACAAGGGCCCACTGTTTAACTCGCTGTTGCTCTTTGCTTTGTGTGTTGACAGACTCTCCTTTGAGGGGAAAATCCCGCTTTTGTCCGTTTCCCCATCGCCTGGCTTGTCGCTCGGAAAGACTAACTTTATTATGCAGTACGCAGAATCCACGCGCACACATCCTCGCCGCATTGGGATAACCTCAGTGTAGCGTGCCCACTTTCTTCCTCTCACGATGCTTCAGCAGCGTTAACACGCAAGGTGACAAGCTCCAAAGGTCAAAGGCTGCGTAAAACCCAGCTTCAACTTTCCGTTCCTGTCGTTTACGTGTCTTGTCAAAAGGGAGGAAATGATGGGTTGATGATAAATATCGGGCTCGTTTGGAAAAGCAAACGCCTCCTTCCTGCAAACATAAACCACCATGTTTTTCGGGTTGATGGAAGACACACTTCTCTGCTGATTTGAACGTTCAAAAAGTCCCCCCTTTTTTCCATTTGCTTCTGTAAACAGATCTGCTGCCTTCCCAGAGCACACGAGCACGCAGGGAGATTCATTCAAAGCGACAAAGGTTTACGCAACATCGGGGAAATCCCTTGATTAGATCATTAATACTGCTGACAGGAGAGCGCTAAATTCATTACATGACCATAACATCTGTAACAAGGTTGCGACTGATGTGGATGAATTGGATGCATGAGGCCACTTCTTAAAAAGTCCGATTTCGTACTTCGCTTTGAGGAGCAGCGGCTCGGCGTTACGCCGACCACAGCAGTGTAGCACATGGTGCGCAGCTGTGCGAAAAGTGTTTTTTTCCTTCTTCTTCAAATCGACGTGGTGCGTTGGACGGACGGCGTTGGGTCGATCTTCCCCCCCCCCTCAGGTGAAAGGGCATGAGTTTTACGCATGCTGCAGTTCAAAGCAGAACAGGTGGGGCCCCCACCGGGATTCAACTCGCCGTGCAGGGTCTGTGTTGATGTGTTGAACTACACATCCATGTGGGAAAGAGATCCCCTCCTATTATGAAGATTTTAACATTTTACGTAGTAAAGAGACGCAGCAATAAGCCTTTATCCCTTCAGCATCTGCCCCCCCTCCCCGATGACGTCCTTAAGGAAATGCACTTCTAAACACAAAGGGTAAACACGACAGACAAAAGGTATGACATTTCCAACTTGTTGGGGATTGCACTCTCAATCCATTGCAAAATATTAATGTATCTGATACTATTCAGTATTATGAACACTGGTTAGACAGCAGAGCTCATGTTGAACAACTTTTGAACTTGATGTTGTTGTTTTTTTAAATTCGCAGTCCTCCTTTCTAAAACATACAAATGACAAAATAAAAGTCTTACCACGCAAAATAGTTTTCTTTATAAAGGATTAAACCTTTTACTGTAAGAATAGCTACACATTTCAACCCTGGAGACTCATTTAAAACCCCGACCCGAACCGCTGCTTTGTAAGCAGTTAGTGTTAATGATCCATTTTTTACAGTGCCATTGCGAGCAGATAAAGATGCATTTTCATGGGTTTATTAATGACCACTTGCCTTATTAATATTTGCCAACTAAATTTTTTGCCCTGTCATTTCTGTTTTTATATCAGCTTCCACTTGCTGTACGGATGTCCTGAACTTTGGTGCTGAGTTCATTAAGTTATATTTGCTTAAAACCACATTTAAAAGAGGTGTTTCTTAAATGACTTGCGAATAGAAGTGTTTAAGAAACTTATTCGTCTGAGAGAATTACTCATCTTTTGGAATTTGCAACAGTTTAAATTTCTCTTTTCTGTTAAGTTTTTTTTTTTTTACAACATCTGTCAATTTTCTGTTTATAATTTGTTTTCGGTCTGGACAAGGTCTGGATTTTACTGAAGCTAAACAGTATCATTATTTTATCCATACTACAATGGTGATTTAACATAACAAGCAATTAAGGATTCTAAGGCACAAACTTCATATTTATTCCTATATTAAAAATAGTTATACTATAAAATTGACTCAATCATTTATTGACCGTTTTCTGTTCCTAATCTGAGAATGTTTGAATTTATACCTCCCACACAAAATGAATTGTTGGGGAATAATATTAAAACATCCTAATCCCCTTTGTTCACCTCCCGTTGTAAATGGGGAAAAAAAGATGTCTCAGCAGTGCTGAGTTGTATGTTTAGGATCTTTATTACCATCCATCACGGAGCTATGATAGGAACACATTTACATGAAGGATGGGTGGATTTGATGGATACGACATCTGACTGTTAATGATGGTAATTTTATTGCTGGAGAACAGCCTGATTTCCTGAGGATTAACCACACGGTTTGCTTGTTGATTTTTTATTAAATACTTATGCCGTGCTATATTTTGTGTTCTCTGCTTCGTGGCTCCATATGGAACACAAAAACTTTGGAAACGTCCAACGTCTGTCATTGTAAATCTTTTTAGCGAGCTCCCTATTGATAGTCATTGATAAACCCAAGAGATAATGCGCACACACACACACACACACACACACACACACACACACACACACACACACACACACACACGGTTAAACCATGAGGTTAAAAGAATCGTGCATTCCTGCAGAAACGTCACTTAATATAGAAACACATCTAAAAGATTTGCAGTCATAAGTTATCCACCTGTATGCCCTTTGTAAGGCCTTGAACACCAACAGATATGAAGGACAAAACCAAGGTTAGGAATTAAATTAGCTTTGGGAATTCAAAAGTTTGCCATGACTTTAAATGTTCCTGCAGACTAACTTACTAAATCTGGACAAATTGGATTGATGAATAAATAATACGTATGTTTGATTAAAACAAAACTACTGTTATATAACTGCAGTCAAACTATTGCGCCAAAAACAAAACTAATATAAATAATACATTCTTCTGATAAAAACATAGTTTTGAGTTACGTCAAATCAGATTAAGTTAATAAATTGATTCTAATATTGTACATATGTTGAGTTTATACCCTAAAAATTAAGCAGTGGCCGAGCGGTTTCTAGCTTTAAAAATGACATCAATGTAAAATCGGGCTTCATAAAAAGCTTTCGCTAACCCACAAAATAAATGGATGACAGTTCTGAAGAAGCTGCTCTAATAGATTTTCCACGTCAATCATTCTGTCAAATCACTGAGGACTGAAGAGTGTCCATCCCATCTGATGAGGATTCAAATAACGTTTTCAAGGTTAATTCAGCACGAAAACAAATCAAATCCATATTTTTTCAAGTCCCATTTCAAACTAAGGAGTCAATGCACAGCAGGTAAACAAAGCAATACTCTCACCTGTGTAAAATAATGCACATTGAGTCTTCAAAGTTATATTATTTTTTTTATTTTAAGTCACGCTTGAAGCTATCGCAAATAAATACACTGATCCCCACATGGATCCAGTCCCTGCATGAAGTACAATATAAAACTCATTGGGCCTAAATCTTTTTTGTTTTTATAAATGTATAATTCTTTGATTCTACTGGTATCCTAAGGCCGAGGCTGTTGTCAGTCTTTGTCCATAAAAGGCGTACGGGGAATAATACGCCCCCGTTGCCGCGGGCACCGGCACCGGGGCTCCGGGCGTGTGCATGGGGCTCTTTGAATAAGGGTGATAGCGGCTGCTCAGTCCGAGGTGATGGTGCGGGCCCCTGAGGGCCAGCGCCCCGGGGCTTCCGGGGCTGCCATTGGGAGGCATGTGCATGTGACACGCCATCGCGGCGGCCGCGGCGGCGTTGGCGAGGGAAGACGACCCCGGGTACCCGGATAGCAACTTGTCCGTGCCGGCAAAGGCCGTGTGAGTCCGCAAGTGACCGAGGAGCTCCTCGGAGGAGGAGAAGCGCTTGTCGCAAGGTCCGTTGGCAGACACCCAGTTACATATGTGCGGCAGGGGGTCATTCGGAAGTATAAACCCGTACGGATACAGGGGATGTCCGCTGAAAGACGGGGCCGAGGAGTGCACGCCGTGCAGCGGGTGCGCCTGGTACATGAGCGGGTATCCAGATTTGAGCGCGGCGGCCGCCGCAGAGTCGTGCGCGCAGTTGGCGCTGGACGCGCCGGACAAGTGGCTCGTGCAGTGGTAGCTCAGGCAGTAGGGGTCCCGACACAGACTGGCGGACATTAGGGACGGCGGCGAGGATCCAGCCAGGGGACTCGTCCCGGCTTTGCTGCAGCCCATCGAGCCGGCGGCAGCGAACTGTGCGCTCAATAGCTGACTGCTGGATTTCGCGTGGTCGAGGTTCATCCCGTGAGGGAGGAACGACTGCGGGTAGCCCGCGTAGGCACCCGCCAAACTTCCAGGATAGGAAATACCGGCGGGGGACATGGGGAAAACGGTGTGACCGGGCTTATATGGGGAAACTGGGGCCACCAGTCCAGAGCCGAGAACGGAGGACGATGAGGTTACAGATGGAGAGTCTGATGTGCGCGTCTTGGATCCAGATGTGCTCTCCTGGTGATGGCTGCCATCAGAGGTAATTCCACTTAACCTGTGGCTGCCGTTATTATCTGCAGTGCTGCTTTTATTGCTATCAGACTCCTTCTTTCCCTCCTTGTCCTCCGCCTTGCCGTCGGCCGGCAGAGGGGAGACTGATGTGCAGGAGCTGGGGCTGCCTGTCCTTGGGCTGAATGGCTGGCAGGTGGCGCTAGGCACCCGGAAACTGGTTTTATCTCCACTGAGGCTGCTGCCCGAGTCCTTCTTTTCCGACGATTTGGAGTAAGGTTTGAAGCTAGATTTGTCCTCGGCTCCGATGTCGCTCATTTTCAGCGGACCGGATTTGGTGTCCTTGTCACTAGATCCATTGGAGGTCACAGAGGACAGCTTGGAGGAGGACGGCGGGTCCGGCTTTCCGATCTGGGAGCACGTCTGGGCCAAGAGAGCAAGTGGACTTTTCTTTGCATCCAGCTGCGAAATAAGACACAGGACACTTTTAATACAAACCACGCAAGACACGTGTACATGTTATGTGTTGTGGCAAATAAGCACACAGGACAATTTCGCGTAGTTTACGCATTGCGCATGAACTTCTCTGGATGAAACTAAAAAAGAACTCCGTGTAAATAGGGAGCGCGCGCGCGCACGGAGCTGATTTACATGACACCGAAGAACGATCGAACGTGACATTACAAACACGGACATCAGTTTGCTACAACACGGTCTTAAGTCCAAATTCAACCCGCAGTCCAAAAAAAAGAAAAATCCCGGATATTGGGTCTAAAAAATCTAATTAGGGGGCTATTCTTTCCCCCCGTAAAACACGATGTTACAATCTGTCCAGAAAAAATATAACTGGAACAGCCGATTTGAGGCGTTGGAAGTGAAACACTCTCCGATTGGAGCCCGTGCGCGCAAACGTTCTGCCAAAACACCGCGTCGGTTCTTACCTCGATGGGACTGATGGGAGTGGACGGCAAAGGCTGAAGGTACTCCGGGTGTAACATGTGTCCTGCCCGAGCGGTAAGCATTTTCAAAACCTTTATGGGGAGACGACTGGCTTGGCGAGAAGGGTGTGCAGCGGAGACGGGGTTGTGGAGGAATAGCCGGCTGATCTTCACTGCGCCCTTCTCCCCCGAGGAGCCGCTCTCCCACGCTGGATTGGTGCTATTTCTCAAGACAGAGACCGTGGGCGATGTGATCATGACCCAATTCTCGCGGAAACGGCTGAGAAATACATGTGTGTCTGTGGGGTAAATGAAGCCAGAATGCTCAAAGTCGTCAGACGGTTAAAAGCCGGATGAAGTAACAAACGACGTTAAATCCTCCAAAGAGACGCGCGGTGTGTGAGAGCAGAATCCGCGCGGCCGCGTTGCTTCGTCCCGGGCGTCGCTGTGACTCTGCGCGGCTGAGGGTCCGAGCGCGCACTCGTGTGTTTACGTAGTGCTGCGCGCAGCAGAGATCACTCCGCCTCCTCTCCAGCGGCCGCGGGATAAAGTCCGCGCATCACGGCCGTCGCCGCCTTCCAATCAAAAGGGAGATCCCGGGGTGAAGGAGGAAGGGGCTCCGGTGAATGCGACGACTTCTCCTCCTCCCTCCCTCCTCGTGCGAGTGCGCGTTCCACGTTTCAGCCACTCGGAGCGCGTTTAATTTCGAGTTTGCACAGGAGTGTTTCCGGGATTGGCCGCTTCATCGCACGCGCCGCCCTTGCAGCCAGTGTGTTTTTTGGGGAAGGTGGACCGGGTTGACATCTGGATCAAAACTACATTGTTTTACACCTTCTTTCTTCTTCCCCAAGTGAGGACAAGTTGCGTTGCAATTCACACTTTATTCCAGACGAAGTATGAAATGCTTTTGTTTGAGGGATTCTGGGCAAAGTGACTCCACTGAACCAATATGTTGTACATTAACACACATTTTCCACCGTAAGTCCTTTTTGAGTAAATATTCCTTAAACTGCCCATCTTATTAACTCATTTGCAAATGATTCCTCCTTATAGGAAGCAGGGCATCTTTGCACCAGATGTAGAACTTCTGACACCAAAAAAAGTAACCGTTGGCCTTTCTGAACAGACATTGACTCCAACGTGCACTGATAACCATCGGCATGTTTCACATTTCAACTTTCTCCTCTCAATCAGGCCGCCTGTCATCTGTCACTTTCTTGTCGTGCACGCAAGATATCTGTCAGCTGTCTGCAGTTTTTTTTTTTGTGTGTGTTTGCCTCTTCTCAGTCGTTATTCAGGTCAACGACTGCAGAGTGAATCCATGAGACGTGGAGTGAGGAAGAGATGTGTCCCTCCCTCTTGCTGCTCCATCACGATTCAGCCGCGTTAGTCTGCTTGGTCTGGTTGAACTCAAAACTGTGATTTGTTTAATTGGAGATAAGCTGTGGGGCATTTTGGCAGCGCTTTAATTCTGCGACAGACATCTATTTAACAGCATGTCCTTTTTTCCCCCAAGTCTCCTTTTTGTCTTTGGATTAAAAATATTCCACCACATTCCAGCCAAAAATGATTTCTTTGGATTCCAAGAACGCTGAAGAAAAAACCTTTTGTAGCTGCCATTAATCATTTAAAGCTTCCACACTTCTTCTCATCGAAATACACCCACTTATCTTATTACTCAATAGCCTATAAATGTCTTGCTGATCAGGCGAAAGTTAAACATATGCAAGTGTTTTTTGATTGATAACAGGGGTGCTGTTTTCGGCAACGGCTGTCAAGCTCTGACACAACGCTTTGAGTTATTAGGGCAGAGAAGGGCGACTATAAATTTCGACCGTCAGGCAAAAACTCCTTTTATTGTGGACGTGATGGATGGCTCGCTGCGGCAGACACCAAATTCTCGGCTTTATCCGTAAATGGCTGCACATTTTTTTAGCCGCCGTAATTCATTACTTTAAAACGGAAAGCTTAAAACCGCCTGGTAGTGTTTTACACAAGGACACATTTATGAATCACCAAGAGTCTGTGCAAACACAAGCATTTACAAGCAGGGTTTGGGTACACCTCATGTAGGTGATTATAAAACAAGCCTCTATTCTGGGCTTTGCATTTTTAAGATCAAGGATTAACCTTTTAATTCAAGGATTTAGTCGTGTTTTTCTTCAAAAGTCCAGTTTAGTCAAGAATTCAGAAAAAAGTCAAACTTCTGCAAAGTGAGGAGTAAACTGAGTTGAGGTTCGCTGAATCCTTTTTACAACACGCAGTGTTTCTTTATTAAACTCACCCAAAGGGCAGTCGGTTACAAATATCCAAAATATAACATTTTAGCCCCACAAATTGACATCTATATAGGAAAAATGTGTTCATTTGACACATAGCCCATGGTTTTCTCAGAATCTTTATTTCATTATTTTAAGGATACATTTACATTTTACATACATTTTTTTTTGTGTGTTTTTGTTCCCATATCAAATATGAGCAAAGTTGGTGGTTGATTTTATCCTCCAGCAGTCTCCTGCATTAACTTTTATGGCTTTAAAGTAAACCATAAATGTTGACAACTTTACCGTTTATTGGTTGATTAATAATTGAAAATAATTACAATAAGTCAGTAACAAGAGCTGCTTCTATGACTGTTGTATAATGTTTGTTGTATAATTTAGCTCTGCAAGTAAAATGGTTACTGCAGCGTTGATTGAACGAATGCATGCGTACGATACTGTAGTTCAGTTTTTAAAATCTAAAGTGTTTTTTCTATTAAATGAAAATTGCTGATGACGAAATGTAAAAGTCATATCTCTGTGGTTTTTCAGAGCGTTTGGAGGTCCCAGGTATCCATGAACGGTATGAAGGGAAGTCACTGCTCCAGTCCGATGATAATTCTGCTCCCCAGACTTGTACGTGCACATCAAAAACATCACAAGGGACCTGTAACTGGAAAAATGTCAAATTCAGGCGCAGAAGTCCTTGGAGACAGGGGGGGGGGGTAGATAAAGGCTGCATTATAATGTCTAGGAAATGGAATAAGAAATTCCCTCGACCCGACGTGAAAATTCACCTTGTGTCAGTCGGCACAGGGCGCGCCGCGTCAGCAGCCAGACATGCCGACTGGATCTGACAGGTAAAAAGGGGAGATGATGGTTAGAAGGTGCTATTGTTTCATGCCACTTTCCTGACCTGTCAGGTCCCGGCGCAGAGGCCTGTATCCAGGACCTCCTTGTCACATGAAAACAGCCTTAAAAGGCCGTTATCCAGACTATGGTGATTGCTCCTGTTTAATTGATTTGCTTTCCACTGAGGCCTGTCACATTAATAATGGTTAAGTACAGCCCCAGAGTGTCACCCAGAGTGGTGCGTCTATCTGGAAATTAGCAGCCTTAACTAACTGCGGTCCTGTGAAGCAAGGACTGTGGGAACATAGGGGATGCGGCCTTTATACTTGGGCTGAAACTATGGTATTCACAATGTAAATGCTCCCTGTAGAAATCCAGCAGCTGTTGTTTCACCCTTTTTATATATTCAACATTTTAAAACCTGCCTTTTACGGCACGCATAGAAATAGTCTCATGGACTACCAGCCAAAGTAAAACAGAATTACGCTGACAAGTAAATGGTGTTGAGTGAATAAGACTTGGATTACGCTCTCTTCACCACTTCACAGGATCCTTTGACAGGTTGCAGTAGACATTAAGTCTCTCTGGATATTTCCATGACTGACGGGACAGTTTGAAATTGCTCCAATCACCTCGATAGCATTGTAATGCACCTTGCATGTGGACTGTCTTTAAAGTGCAGGAAATTGGACTCTTAAGGTGACCGTTGCCTTTCAACCAAATATGACAAGGAAATAGACTGCTTTTCTCCTGAGAGGGGAAAAGGGCCCCACAGACACCGAACAAGAGGGTACAGGAGGAAGTGTCAGGAAGTATTACAGATTTTATGTGTTTTAATACGGGACATTTCAGATACCACAGAGTCACACCCATTCCCTTTTGATTACATCCAATACACCCCCCCCCCCACCCCCCCGTTTGCGTCAACCACTGTAGCGTCGCCCTCATTTGCAGGAGCTCAACTCGGAGTGCAACTTCTTCACGTCAGCTATCTCGCCCGGAAGTCAGGCGGCGGCGGCGCAGCACGGCGGTGCGTTGGAAAAGTTGAGGGGCTGCCAAGATCGGTGGCGGTGAAGGGTCTTTTTTTTTTTTTTTTTCACCGTGTCTCCTCAATTAGTTAAAGCTGGTCAGGAGTAGCAAGTAAAGCCTATGGAGATTACATGCTGTCGTCCACTTGCCATCAGGTAGGTGAGGATCCTGGCGGGTTGTAGTCATGCTGTAGAGAAGAGTTAACTTCACCTACTTTCCCTGTTAGCCCTGGAACCAATGGCTCAATGCAACCTGACAGCTGCCATATTACTGGTTCAGAACTTTGTTGAAACTTCACGGAGCGCCTGTAAAACCGACCGTACTGGATCTGCTTGTCTAGTAGCTGTCGTGTCTAGTGCAATCTGACCTAATGCGATGACATCAAAGCACTGACTGTGAAGTTGTGCTGCAAATTTGAATTCCAATCATGGCTTCCTATGATGATTTTCATTATGGATAAATATGTTGATTTGTTTATTGGGTTGTTTACAAAATGGTGAGAAATTGGATTTCTTCAATGCCAATTTGGCCTAAAATGTTGTCTTTGGTTTTAACAAACGGTTCTAAACTATCTTCCTGTAAATAAGTTTACAGGGATGTTGAACAGAAAAAATATTAACTATAACTGTTGATAATTCCAGTACCGAATCTCAAATGAGTTAAAAAGAGACACACGCACACACACACACACACACACACACAGAGCATCTGTTTGGCAGTGGGTGTCGAATCAACATTCTCCTCGTCGGCACACATGCAGCACTAGATGCCGATTCCTCACATTTACTAGATTTAATTTATGGAGCCTAAGCCGGGGTGAAAATGTACAGGTAGCGTGTTATGACACTGGAAGCGCTGCGCGGGTCGGGATGAATGTCTGTGATGGGCAGATTATTCAGACTAAAGTAGGCCTAAAGAATGATCTTGTCACATTTCACACGCGGGATTAGGGACACGCGGGAGGAGCGCTTCAGTCAGGAATTAGCGTCATGTGGTCGGCTGGAGACGAGCATGCAAGGCATTCGCCGAGACAGCCTTGGACACTTACTGCTCCATTTGTCTACTTAGTGATCAAATACTGAGGTTGATGGTTATTTCTCTGTCGTTTGTGGTTTA